CGGGGAACTGGGGCCTCGGCAACAGCTCCCTCTCTCACGGACAGCACCCGCGAGCTGGAAAAACTGAAGTTTAAAATACTCTCTTTTTAGTTTTGCAGTCTGAGAGAGGAATGGAAACACGAAGAAATGCTGGCGGCACTAGAGAGGGAGAACTGCAGTCTGCGACAGGTGAACGCCGTGCGAGGCCAGTACAGACAACTCTTGCACCAGCTGCTTAGTCGTGCTCACTTTAGGCTCTGGGGAGTGTGCCACAGAAAAAAAACCACTGCAGCAGTTTTAGAGAAAAAGAGGAGCAATAAGTTACCGGTACTGGCAAGGCTGTTAGTCTGTAGACTCCGCCCAGCATCTTCCAATACTGGAAGCGTTTGGATCATATGCGGGGGAGGCACAGCCAAGCCTGGTCGCTTTCTTCCTCACGGTAACAGCTGGATCTCCTCAGGTTGTTACAGAACAAGAATCCAAACTGGCTGAGCAGAAGGAGCTGATCAGCGAGTTAGAGGGGACGGTCAGCCAGCTCCGGGCAGAGGTTCTGGCCGGCCGACGTGATGCCCGTGAGCAGCAGCGGGCCCACGAGGAGACCCAGCGCCGCGCTGAGAGCCTGGAGCACAGGGAGCTGCAAACCAGAGTGGCACTGGAATGTGTCACCAGCAGGGTAAGGGCACTCTGTCCATCCAGAAACAATCATTACCACAGTACTTGCAGTCCAACTGCTCGTAATTTCATATAAGACTTTCCATCTCATCATTCACTTTGTCTAAGACTGACAGAGTGATTTTTGCAAATTCATGCCAATGCCAGCTAAATGCACCTACTTTCCTCTTTTATCGAAAGTTTGAAAGATACCGAAGCAAAATAATCCAGGCTACGTTCAGCGCGTCAGGCAGCAAGCCTCCCCAGGCAGAGCTCACGGACGAGGAGGTGCTGGAGGCGATGCAGGTACGTGGTTTTCCCAACTCTGTTCCTAGCAGCCGGCAAGGGACTGACGAGGAAAGAGGCCGGCGTGCAGTGCTGCTCTCCACCTAACGCTTTCCTGCCTCTTTACACCTCCCTTGTTTTCAGAAAATAATTAACGAACGGATGGAGTTCTATCAGCTGCTGAAACAGAAACAGAGTGGCAAGGTCCCGGCATTCCACAACATCGACACGCCTCTGCCACTGCCTGCCAGTACTAGGGGAAGCAGAAAAAGTTCTACCATGAAGCATCTCAACAGCTGAAAAGCAGCCCCAACACATCACCAACTTCAGGCTCCTGTTCCGCTGTTCCTCCGTGGCGACTTACTAACACATTAAACTCGTTTTACTGAAATCAAGGTCTGTGGGAGTAACTAATTTGACCGTTTCATCCGATTCAGAGGACAATTCACTGTAAATGTTTGGTCTGTAGAAACATTCCACTTCACAGGGCAGCAGCTCAAAGCACTACTAAGGGCTGCTTGGTTACAAGCAGCTTGAAGGAGTTAAGGTACCATTTTTGCAGCACATACAACAGCTGCTTTGGTGAATTTGTGTAGTTCCACAGCTGGAAAATTCACCAATGCCAAAAGAAGTGAGTGACGTGTGACTGCAAGAACCATTTTATTTTTTCCATTCAATGTGCAAGACCCGACACAGGGATGTATTTGACACAGTATCGAGAAGGTCAGTTAGAGGGCTGCAAAACGTGTAACAGGAAGAAGTCAGTCTGTCGGTCACCCGAGCTTTTGGAGAGGTTTGCATTCACACAGGCAAAAGTCACCCACAGACCCCCAAAGTCAGAACCACCCAAACTACCTGTACTGGGGTGGATGTCCCCAACGCTCTTCACAGGGGAGTGTGACAGAAAGCTCCAGAAGAGTCACTCTGGGTGTGAGTGCTCATGTGCTGGGGAGACGGGAGCTCTCGTAGTGTCAGCACGAGGCAGTGCCAGCCCTCGGAACTGCGCGAGCACAAACTCAGCGCTTGATGAACTCAGCGGGGACACGACGAGTTCACGACAACCGGTGCTTCCACAAGGACAGATGACGGCTCTGGAATGCGCTGGGACACACAAATGCCCACAGTCACTTCAACAGACTTGACTTAAGAACAGAAGCTGCGTTAATGCCTGAACACAGAAACCATCGCTTTAAAGCTCCTTCCTCGAGTTCTTACAGCAACTAAACTTTCACAATTACTCCAGATACAAAATGATGCAGGAATGAGATGTCAGCAAAGTAGTTTTGTGTCCTGCCTGCAGCACGGGTAGTACAGCACAGGACTTCGTTTCAACGCACTCGCTACTGGATTTCTCAGTTTAGCTGCCAAAATAATAATCCAGTTGAAACACGCCAGGAAGAAGGAGCGATCTTGCAGACAACAGGACTGCGCTTATTTTATAAACACCAAGATGTCACCAAGACTTCCTCTACAAGCTACCGCTTTCTGACTTCCAATACCTCCTCTGCGTTCGCCTTTGAAGATGTTCTATCTCTACCTGGTCAGAACTGTTAAGGCTGAAGGAACGTTAACACCCCTTGCAGTGCCCTGATCAAACTTTAGTTTTTACACAGCCAGGCGGGACGTGCTGCACCTTTGCTTTCACAAAACCAAACCACCTCACTGCGTACAAGTTCCGTTGTTGAGTATGGAAAATAAAAAAAATAAAACAAACCAGCAAACTGACTCGTTTTCTCCGCTTTGATAGCTGCTAACGTATTACAGTCAGAAGAGAGGAAACTGTGGTTAGGTCAGTTTTTGAAGGATAAAGTACTTTCAAGTTTCCATCTGTGTCCACCACTCGAACCTGCTCCACTACCAATGGAGAATTCATGGGCTGTACATTTTGGCCAGGGTGCAAATTCGCTGGTCCACGAAGAGCATCAGATTCATTATCCGAGCCTGAGTCTTCCTCATTTTCCAAAGTAAATCTGTTCAGTTCTGCAATTTTCTGTTAAAAGCAAAGCACAGGAAACAAAATTCTGCAGCTAGGGCCTCACAGCAACTCCAAGTCGCTTCCAAGGCGTGGACCTTGCCAGCCTCTGGAGGAATATCTGCACGAAAACATTCTGCAGCGGGTCAGAATCTTTCAGGAAACTGAAAAGGCTTTTTGATGTTATTGCTGACGCCATAAGATCGCTAATAAGGGGAAGGTGCTCAAAGTCAAACCACACATTTCAAACTGACCCTGGTGAGGTGTGAGGTTTACCAGTTAGTCAGGATCCGGGAACATAACAGCCTTGTGCGACACAGCAAGAATGGAAGAGTAAATGAAGGAGAGAGAATAATAGTACTTCTAAAGTAAAAATCAATTTCTGTGATCTTCTCAATACATGCCAGCCGTTCATCATTTTGTTAAGCACACCAAGAAGAGACAGGACTGCTTTCCTGCACTACTTACCAGAATTAGCGTGTCCATGACATCTTTGCATATCTGTAAACTGGTATCGCTTGTCACTTCCAGAAACAGATCACGGGTGTCTTTTCTGATCTGTAAGAGTTTTGCAGGTAAAGCAAGTGAGGAATCTGAGCACACTTTCCCCCAGTCACTTGGCAACGTTTCAACACACAACCTGAATGAAAGGCTTTCATTCAGTTCCACTGGAGGCAAAGTACGGCTGTTCTTTCTGAGTCAAAACCCGTGTTCTCGCCCTTCAACAGAGGGCCCATCTCTGCAAAGGCAACGCGGTGCCTTTGGAGCAGCCTGCCAGAGCCTGACAGATTTACCAAGGCAAAAATGTAACGCCAAGATGCACCTCAACCTGACAGTGTAGCAGAGAAGGCCCAGGCTTTGAAGATTTACAGTTGGAACTTCGTCACAAAGTTTCACAGAACAGTGCATTATCTTTGAATCTGGAGTGAAACCTCTCCAGTACAAAGAAACTCTGATTAATTCTGATCCACATATATTTTCTGAAACAGAGATTACCTTTGTTTTCTCACTGTTGGTTATTGGTGGGAAAGAAATCACAACGCCTTCAGCATCCACAAGACACGGGTAGTTATCTTTGCCATCCAGTAACTGGAGATACCTGCCGAGAAAAACAAAGAAGCAAAAAGTGAGGAACGGAAACAACAGCTGGACACAGTGGCAGAAAATAGCGACAAAAACAAATTAGCACATTCCTCATCCATCTCGCAGCAAAACCAGAAGAAACTAAGATTCAGCAAAAGTGCGTCACGGCGATACAGCTGAGCAGAGACAAGAATTTGCTCTTGACAGAGCTGGAAATAACAGAAGGCACTCATCATCCCCACTGCACCCCAGGTTACTTTTTACGCATAAATTCAGCTCCGTGTTTTGCATCTTGGCTCCTAAGAGCTCTTGCTGGGCTGGTGAGCCCCATCACCATTCCAGAACATGCCTCCTAATACATTCCAGCGCATTTTCCTCCGTGCTGGTTTTTCCATACGAGTTATCAAAATTAATGTGAAGAAAAGCACAGAAGATCAGAATACTGACTTGTGCAATCCAGAAACATTCTGACGCTTCTTCTGTTTCCTCTGCTCCTCAGCTTCTAGCTGCAGCTGACGGAGGAGATCCTTTGCCTTGATCTCCTTTCGACCCAGGGGCGTTACCTACACCATAAAGGGAAACAAACATTTGAATTTAAGAGTGACTCAAAGACAGGGGTTATTAAAACTCCCCTGTAAGCAAGTCACTAATTAAACCCAAACTTGGGTATGCCATCACTCTCCAATTTGAAATAGAATTTTATATTCTGGGCTGAAGTTACAAGGACGATCTAAGAGCTTACAAGACAAAAGGGAAACAAACGGTGGGGAGGGGCACCGATGGCGCTGGCCCTACCTTCAGTTGGTCAGGAGGCTGAACATCGTACATCAGAGGACCCTTGATCAGCTGCAGGTCGTGGGTGGCAATAGTGGCTGCTGTCCGCTTTTCACAGATGTCTTCGTGAAGTTTAGTCTAAGATAAAAAGAACGCCATCAACATAGATCAAAATCAACTTGAATTATTCCTCCTTGGGTTCAACTTCTTCCCCGTTTAAAGTCTGCAGCATCCTCAACTAGCTGAGTAACCCCTGCGCATCAAACAGAACCCTTTTCGTCACTGCGAAATAATTTTATTGTACGACCCCAACGCAAAGACAGTGAAGCACAGCACGTGATGTGCTTCTCGACTGCAAGACGACCACCTACAAATCACAGAACAAATCACAAATACGCGAGTCTCACGATGGGAAAGAAGCTAACACCTGCCACCTAACGGGCAGGCGAGCTGCCACGTGAAAGCCTGTGCTTACGGCACCTCGGCAGGAAGGCTAAGGCACACAAGACAGTTTTACCACGGATTAGGGAACCTGGAGCCACACCAGCGTCCTTCTAACGTGGATGCAGGCTTATTACCAGTTTTCAGCAGGTTCCACAGCCCTAACGAGCTGTTCTTACGGGGCAGCGCAAAGGGGTGTGCGGTCATCGCCCTCTCATGGCAATATCAGAGCTCCTGTTAGGCTCTTCAGGAAAAGCAGCTTTGCTTACCACAGACTGGCCAGGCACCACGTCGCATCCCGCCGGGCCCTCACCACCTGCCAGGTGAAGAGCTCACCCAAATTTTCAGAAGCTGAGCTACCAAAAGGAGTCTAGAACAGCCCTTGTGTGAGCCTGCCAGTGACACTCCTGTTGCAAAGGAGAAACACGAGGCTGCAGCAGTTACCTGCGCTGACAGGAACCTCTTCAAAGCATTTCCCGGCTTTAAGTTGACTCCCTTCAGCACGCAGCACACGATGAAGGGTCGAACATCTTTGACGCCCGGGCTCACTTTGACCACCAAGGGCGTCGAGT